TATATATATATATATATATAGTTGTACTTAAGGATACCCCTCTACTAGGGTGACTAGGCAATCCCTCTTGCAGACGCTTGCTCAGGCGCATTTGTGTTTTGTTCAACACCCACAGAGCCCACCTGTGTTTTATACTGCAACTATGTAGAGCAGACCTTAGTTACAGTTTCTGGGAAAAGAGCGTGTTATCTAATGTGATCAATTTGAAAATGCCAGCACGCTCAAGCCCTCGACCATGATGACTTGTGACTGTGCTAGCACAGCTATTGATGGCCTCTAAAGATTCTGTGTACCCATTTTCACTCATTAGGCTTGGGTGAAATTGCCTGAAAACCATACCCATGGTATGGTTTTCAGGCAATTTCCAAAGGTGCCACACACTGGAATTGCCCCCCTCCAGTCCAATAACATCAGGAAGTCTCCTTCCTGATAAATTGACCATGGTGAGATTCAAACTCTGGTCTCATGGTCAGGATGCGAATGTTCTAACCACTTGGCCACATGCAAATTTTTTATATATATATATATATATATATATATATATATATATATACACACACAGGTGTGTAACAAAAAATTGTCCAATTGTTAGATTAAGTTTTTAACCATTGTATCTTAGAAATGATTAACGATATCTTATTGGAATTCTGAGGTTTTTATAACACTATTGGACTACTTTGAGCAATATAATGTGTAACTACTCTCCAAGCTTAACAGGAGAATCAGGATGAAATCGATCATAAACAAAAATGACATGTTCATCATTAATTAATCATGGCTAAGGATCGGAGGCTCATGAAGGATTGAACTCAAGTTAAAAAAAAAAAAAAAAAAATATATATATATATATATATATATATATATATATATATATATATTTATTACTCCAGGATCATTTCCCAACTTATTCAAGATGATCTTCACCATCTCTAACCTAACTTTCTGTTCAGGTGTAACAATGTGACTCACATGTTTCATGTATGATTTTCAAGTCTCTTTTCACTGCTGTTTGGACTGTCATAGCTGAAACTCATCTCTCACATGCCAAACATTTTATGAAAGGAGTTGGATCTTTTCTAATTGATCTCTTTAGCACTAAGTTGTTTACTGTTTTCTTGATGGTTCTTGAATGGACTTTGAAGACAGAAGCCAGAGTATGAATGTCAGTACCGTTACTGAAAGATCTTTTTACTTTCACCATTGCTCAGTTGAGAAAACTGGGGATCTGACACAAAACAATCTTAACCGGCTCTCTTTTTAGCTGAAAAACTCATAGGATTTTTCAGTGACTCTTACAAAAAAAAAAAAAAAAAAAAAATGGTGCCAAGATGGCTGTCTTATCTGAAAACCTTGAAAAAAAGAAACTCAATCAGTTTAGGGTTTTTTTTTTTTTTTTTTTTTTTTTTTTAGATATAAAACATCTTGTGGGATGGACAATTATGCTGTTACATGATTTGGACAATTTTGCTGTTACACCTGATATATAATATATGCTCAAATTTTGGTATATTATTTGATGATAGAAGAGTATTTTCAGGGATAGAAAACAATTAGATATAAATAGAGGAAACAAATTTACACTGCATGGCAACTATGAGTTCCCCACCCAAAGCAATCAACAGATCAGCAAAATGTGCATATTTAATATGATAGACTTCTTAATGATAGTGATCTATTCTTCCCTGATTTTAGATGGCTTTCCTCACCCCCAGGTCATAATTAAGTAATTATATAATTCTCCCAACAGACAGAAAAATGAGTATTTCTTATTAATATACACAACTTTCTCAGTAATATATATATATATATATATATATATATCTATATCTCTTTGATAGATTTATAAATGAGTAGGAGTGTAACTTCATAGCCTAGATATTAGATAATGCTTGTTACACACCATAAAGAATAATAAAAAATATCTTCGTTCATATCCTGGATTGTAGGTGAATTTCTTTTGCTTAAGATAACACCCACCAAGCAATAAGGCAGTGGTAAGCAGCTTCTTTTAAAGTATAAAACAAGCAAAAATGAAGTCAGAATGGAATGAAAGAAAGAAAAAAAACAACTGAACAAGTTTTGTAGTGAGCATCTTCTGCACTAAGCAGACATTTTATTGATTCTTGTTCTCCTGTACTCAAAGAACTTGAAGACTTGGCCAGGAAAGAATGAAAGAGCCAATCTGGTCCTGAAGAAAGTTAAGGAACTGAAAAAAAAAACTAATAATAGTTGCTTTGGTGAAAGATGGAATAGGGAGATAAGAAAGAGGAAGAAATAGAGAGAAAGAAAGCAAGCATGTATATCAAGAGTATTAGTTTAAACAAGAGAAATATCTTCAGGAATAATAGAGACAGAGAGAGAGAAAAAATTTATGTATATCAAGACAACAAGAAATAAGCATACAGAAGACATCAAGAAAAAGAAAAAGTGGGGAGGAAAAGAGGGGAGGGAGAGAGAGAGAGGGAGAGGGGAGAGGGGGAGAGAGGGGAGAGAGGGGAGAGAGGAGAGAGGGAGAGAGGGGAGAGAGGGAGAGAGGGGAGAGGGAGAGAGAGGAGAGAGGGGAGAGAGAGAGGAAGGAGAGAAGGGAGAGAGAGAAAGGGAGAGAGAGGAGAGGGGAGAGAGGAGAAAGGGAGAAAGGAGAAAGGGGAGAGAGGAGAAAGGGGAGAGAGGAGAAAGAGGAGAAGGGAGAAAGGGGAGAGAGGAGAAAGGGGAGAGGAAAAGGGGAGAGAGGAGAAAGGAGAGAGGAAAAGGGGAGAGGGAGAAAGGAGAGAGGGAGGGAGAGAGGAGAAAGGGAGAGGAGAAAGGGAAGAAAGGGAGAGAGGAGAAAGGGAGAGGGGAGAAAGGAGAAAGGGAGAGAGGGAGAGAGGAGAAAGGAGGGAGAGAGAGGGAACACATGTATATCAAGACAAAAAGAAGAAATAAGCAAACAGAAAAAAGATCCCAGGAATATGAGAGAGAGAGAGAGAGAGAGAGAGAGAGAGAAAGAAAAAAAAATAAAGAATTAAAAACAAAAAAAGATGAAAAAAAAGAAAAAAGATGAAATGAAAAGAAAAAAAACAGATGGAACATAAAAGGATATAAAAAAAGAGCCAGTAAGAAATATTTATAAATGTGGTGAAATCAGAGATGTAAAGATTAGCTGAAAAATGGCTAGAGATAAAAAGAAAAAGTGTTAAGAAAAGTGAAGAAAGCCGAGATGAGGAAAGCTTAAAATTAGATGAAGGGGTGGGAAGGTTAAAAAAAAAAAAAAAAAAAAAAAAAAAAAATCACAGAAGAAATAGTAAAATGTATAAGAAAGATAAAGAAAGAACAAAGACACAATGAGAAAGGGGAGAATGTGAGTGAGGAAGAAATGCCAAGAGTAGAACAGAAAGAATTAGAGAGAAAGAAAAGGGAAATATGGTAAATAGAGATATAGTAAGGAAAAAGAAAATAAAAAAAAAAAAAAGAGACAAGTGAGCAAGAGTTGTCACAGGAAGAGATAAAAAAAAAAAATTACCCTGGCAGAAGCAATGAAATCAAAGATGACGTGAAAAACTTTGCAAAAAAAGATGCTGGAGATATTGAATGGAAGTTGATGGAAAAGATATATCTAACAATTATATGATATGAAGAGTAAGTCATTGCAAGCAGAGACATGGTTCTGAGAACAAAAAGTTACAGTGTTGACGTTGATGACTGGCGGCCAAAAATATTAAAAGAAGAATGGAAAAAAAAAAAGAAAAGAGATGTAATCCTTGTTATAAAGATGACATTTTGAAAAGATATTTAGGAAGGAATGAAAAGAAAGAAGAGACAAAAGATATTTAGGAAGGAATGAAAAGAAAGAAGAGACAAAAGATATTTAGGAAGGAATGAAAAGAAAGAAGAGACAAAAGATATTTAGGAAGGAATGAAAAGAAAGAAGAGACAAAAGATATTTAGGAAGGAAATGAAAGAAAGAAGAGACAAAAGATATTTAGGAAGGAAAAAGATGAAAAGAAAAGAAGAGACAAAAGATATTTAGGAAGGAATGAAAAGAAAGAAGAGACAAAAGATATTTAGGAAGGAATGAAAAGAAAGAAGAGACAAAAGATATTTAGGAAGGAATGAAAAGAAAGAAGAGACAAAAGATATTTAGGAAGGAATGAAAAGAAAGAAGAGACAAAAGATATTTAGGAAGGAATGAAAAGAAAGAAGAGACAAAAGATATTTAGGAAGGAATGAAAAGAAAGAAGAGACAAAAGATATTTAGGAAGGAATGAAAAGAAAGAAGAGACAAAAGATATTTAGGAAGGAAATGAAAAGAAAGAAGAGAAAAAGATATTTAGGAAGGAATGAAAAGAAAGAAGAGACAAAAGATATTTAGGAAGGAAATGAAAAGAAAGAGAAGAGACAAAAAAGATATTTAGGAAGGAATGAAAAGAAAGAAGAGACAAAAGATATTTAGGAAGGAATGAAAAGAAAGAAGAGACAAAAGATATTTAGGAAGGAAAAGAAAAGACAAAAGAAGAGACAAAGAGAAATTTAGACAAAAGATATTTAGGAGGGCGTCAAGAAAGAAGAGACAAAAGATATTTAGGAGGGGAAGAGAAAGAAGAGACAAAAGATATTTAGGAGGGAAAAGAAAGAAGAGAAAAAGAAAGGAGAAGAAGAGAAAAGATATTTAGGAAGGAATGAAGAAGAAAAAGATATTTAGAGGGAGGAAGAGAAAGAGACAAAAGATATTTAGGAGGGAAGAGAAAGAATGAAAAAGAAAGAAGAGACAAAAAAGATATTTAGGAAGGAATGAAAAGAAAGAAGAGACAAAAGATATTTAGGAGGAATGAAGAGAAAGAAGAGACAAAAGATATTTAGGAAGGAAGAGACAAAAAGAAAGGGAGAAAGAAAGAAGAGACAAAAGATATTTAGGAGGGAGTGAAGAGAAAGAAGAGACAAAAGATATTTAGGAGGGAGTGAAGAGAAAGAAGAGACAAAAGATATTTAGGAGGGAGTGAAGAGAAAGAAGAGACAAAAGATATTTAGGAGGGAGTGAAGAGAAAGAAGAGACAAAAGATATTTAGGAGGGAGTGAAGAGAAAGAAGAGACAAAAGATATTTAGGAGGGAGTGAAGAGAAAGAAGAGACAAAGGATTTCAGGACGGAATGAAGAGAAAGAAGAGACAGAAGAGAGTCGATTGATTGAAAAGGGAAAGAAAAAGAAATCATTGGAAAGAAAAATATATAAGAAAAGAAAGAAAAATAGGAAGAAAAAATGAAAAGAATAAGAAATAAAAAGAAATGGAGCAAAAAAAGAAAAAAATGAATGACTGAAGAAAAGATTTGCAATGAAATTGGTAATGCCAAAAAAGGTGAAAAAGAGAAAAAATAAAGAAATAAAAAAAAACAAAGAGACAGAAAGTAAATAAAAGAGAGAAAGAAAGAATTAAGCAAACTAACAAGAGAAATAAAACAAGAATGAAATAAGAGACAAAACAAGAAAAACAAACATAAGAAAAATGAAGAGAAAGAAACTAAAAAAATGAAGAGAAAGAAGAAGACAATAATGAAAGAGCGAATTAAACAGGAAAAAGAAAGCAGAGAATGAAAGAGAGAAAAGAAAGCGAGAGATGAAAGAGAGAGCTAAAAGAGAGAAAGAGCATGAAAGAGAGATGAAAGAGAGATGAAAGAGAGCAGAAAGAGAGAGAGAGCGAGAAGAAAGAAAGAGAGAGCGAGAAAAGAGAGCGAGAGCATAAGAGAGCGAGAGTAGAGAGAGAAAGAATAAGAGAGAGAGAGTAAGAAAGTGAGAAAGAGAGAGAAAGCGAAGAAAAGCGAAGCGAGAGAGAGCGAGAAAGAAAGAAAGAGCGAGAGAGAGAGAGAAGAAAGCGAAAGAGAGAAAGAGAGAGAGAAAGCGAAAGAAAAAGCGAGAGAGAAAGGGGAAAGAAAAGGAGAGAGAAAGAGAAAGAGCAGAAAGCGAGAAAGAGAGAGAAAGTAAGAAAGCGAGAAAGAGAGAAAGTGAAAAAGCGAGAAAGAGCGTAGAGCGAAAAGAAAGAGAGAAAGAAAGTAAGAGAGAGAGAGTAAGAAAGAGAGAGAGAGTAAGAAAGTTAGAGAGAGAGCAAGAAAGTAGAGAGAGAGCAAGAAAGCGAGAGAGAGAGAGAGAGTAAGAAAGAGAGAGAGAGCAAGAAAGCGAGAGAGAGAGCAAGAAAGCGAGAGAGAGAGCAAGAAAGAGAGATGAAAGAGAGAGAAGAAAGCAAGAAAGAAAGAGAGAGAGAGCAAGAAAGAGGAAAGAGAGAGAAAGAAAGCGAGAGAGAGAAAGAGAGAGAAGAAAGCGAGAGAGAGAGAGAGTAAGAAAGCGAGAGAGAGAGAGAGAAAGGAGAGAGAGAGAGAGAGAGAGAGAGAGAGAGAGAGCGAGAGAGAGAGAGAAGAAAGCGAGAGAGAGAGAGCAAGAAAGCGAGAGAGAGAGTAAGAAAGAGAGAGAGAGAAGAAAGAGAGAGAGAGCAAGAAAGAGAGAGAGAGAGAAAGAGTAAGAGAGAGAGAGCAAGAAGAGAGAGAAGAGAGAGAGAAGAAAGAAGAGAGAGAGAGAGAGAGCAAGAAAGCGAGAGAGAGAGCAAGAAAGCGAGAGAGAGAGCAAGAAAGCGAGAGAGAGAGCAAGAAAGCGAGAGAGAGAGCAAGAAAGCGAGAGAGAGAGCAAGAAAGCGAGAGAGAGAGAGAAAGCGAGAGAGAGAGAGAGAAGAAAGCGAGAGAGAGAGAGAGCAAGAAAGCGAGAGAGCGAGAGAAAGCGAGAGAGAGAGAGAGCGAGAAAGCGAGAGAGAGAGAGAGAGAGAAAGAGAGAGAGAGAGAGAAGAAAGGAGAGAGAGAGAGAGCAAGAAAGCGAGAGAGAGAGAGAGAGCAAGAAAGCGAGAGAGAGAGAGAGCAAGAAAGCGAGAGAGAGAGAGAGCAAGAAAGCGAGAGAGAGAGAGCAAGAAAGAGAGAGAGAGAGAGAGCAAGAAAGAGAGAGAAAGAAAGGAGAGAGAGAGAGAGAGAGAAGAAGAGAGAGAGAGAGAAAGAGAGAGAGAGAGCAAGAAAGCAAGAGAGAGAGAGAGCAAGAGAGAGAGAGTAAGAAAGCAAGAGAGAGAGAGCAAGAAAGCAAGAGAGAGAGAAAGCAAGAAAGAGAGAGAGAGAGAGAAAGCAGAGAGAGAGAGAGAGAAGAAAGCAAGAGAGAGAGAGAGAGCAAGAAAGAGAGAGAGAGAGCAAGAAAGCGAGAGAGAGAGAGAGCAAGAAAGCGAGAGAGAGAGGGAGCAAGAAAGCGAGAGAGAGAGAGAGCAAGAAAGAGAAAAAACAAAACGAATAAGAGAGAGAGAAAAAACAAACAAGAAAAATGAATGAAGAGAAGTAAAGAAAGAAAGAGAAACAACTAATAAATAAGCGAGACAAAAAAGAAAAATCTAAGAAAGTTAAGAAAGAAAAATGAGAAATGAAGAAAAAGAAAAGGTGATGAAGAAAACAATGGAAAAAAAGAAAAAACAATGTAGGAGAAAAAGATGACTGGAAAAAAAAAAAAAAAAAGAAAGGAAAAGAAGATAAAAAAAATGGAAAGAAAGAGAAAAAAAATGGTAGATAAGAGATGGAGAGACAAATATGAACGTGAAAGAAAAAAGAAATATTGAAGAAAGAATGAAACATAATGAAAGTTAAAAGAAACAAAAGAGAGACTGAAACTGAAGAAATAACGAAAACAAAAGATTAAAATGAAAAAGACAATAGCCCAAAAATTTAGCAAGGGAAAAACCAAAAAACCAAATAAGCAGTGAAACCATGCAGAGCTTTACTCACTAAAAGTCACAAAAACAAACAAACAAAAAACAAAAAAACTGTCCTAAAAATAGAAAAAGCAAGTCTGAAGCAAATGAAATGATCCTCCTTTCTCGTCCCAAATACCTTGTGAAATAAGAAACACGTATTGAAATAAGATGGCATGACAGGATAAACCAAGCAAAAAGAAATAATTTCATAATAATGAAATGAAGAAGGAAACCTTTTTTTTCATCCTTTTTCAAAAAGTAAAAGAAAATATATCATTAGTTGTCATGATAGTGTCAGTTTTTTTGGGTGGTGGTGAGAAAAGGTAAGGCAATAAAGGGGAGGGAGTTATTAGAACTCCCTCTATCTACCTATCTCTCACACACACTCATTACAGTTACTATAAACACTTCTCTAAATACACTGTCTTGCATTATTAGCTACTTTTTTTATATATATATATATATATATATATATATATATATATATATAATTATTTAAAAAAAATATGATTCCTTTGCTACATAAGAGTTCTTGTGTTTCAAAAACAAGAGCCAAAACCTTCAATATAATTATTAAAATTAAATTGAAGTATCAAGCCCCGTTTCATCCTCAAGCGAAAATAACCAATCTTAAAATTTACGCATCTTTTTTATATAAGACATTTTATGTTTATACATTGTTTTTATAGATACAAATATTTAAGTAAATGCTGTTTATAATAAACAGTATTAAACAACATTATATATATATATATATATATATATATATATATATACACACACACACACGTTTTATTAAAGATGACTGATAAGGCACTGCGATTAAGATTTTTATTTAATTTTTCTTGTGTTCATACAAAGGTTTTTTTCTGGACACAAAGTATGTACATATTCTTTTAGCCATTATCAAGGATGATTTTTTATTTATTTTTTTATATTTTTAACAATGTTTGAGTATATTTTGGGTGGGGGGTATGTATCTGAAGTTCTAGGAATGTTTTATTTTCCAAACATGGTCAGCATGTTGTGGCAGTGTTCATAGTTAATGTTATTGTGTATTGGCTTTTTTTTTTTTTTTAGAGCTTGGAATGTTTTTTTATTATTAGTGGATGGAAACTGATTCCTGATCAAACCAAACTCATAAATATATTAGTCATACAACTATATGCCTATCTAGATGACTCACATTACACCTATCTAACCATAACTCAAGTAGGACTCATTCCACACATAGAAACCTACCAAACTCCATCTGCAACATGCAACATAGAAAATACAAGTATAATAACCTCATCAACATGTAAAAAAAAGATTAAAAATAATGGAAGCACTAAAAATTATACAAAAACTTGTATAAAAGATGGATTGCTGCCCAAACACACACACACACACATATATATATATATATATAAATAAATAAATAATCCATTGGTATATAATCTAAGTGAATCCTATTAATAAAATATTAAAACTGATTCACACAAAGAGCTCAATGTTTTAATCAAACAGAGCAACATATTTCATACAATAGGAATTAAGATTACATTAGGTTAATGATCATTTTCACCTTCTAAATTGAAATAAAATTTACAAGGACTTTTCAAACCAGTCAATGGATGATAAATTATTGAAATAAAACTGGACAAACAGAAGGAGGAAAGAAGGGAACAAAAATGGAAAAAAGAGAAAGAGAGCAAGTAAAAACAAAGATGTTGTGTAATTCTGGATATGAGGGGTGGTTAGAGGAGAAAGGTAGAGAAAATAAGGGGGAGAAAAAAAAGAGAGAAGAAATAACCTATTTATTTTATACCCAGTAGCAAAGAGTAAGGCAGTTCAGAAACCCTTCATAAATGTATTAGCAAAAATAATATATTAAATAAAGTGATTAACTCATTTATATGAAAAAGAGTTAATTCACAATTAAAGGTATATTAAAATAAACAATATATCAGAAAAAATAAGAAAAATATAAAAATTGAAATTAATATACTGAAATGATTATAATTGTCTAAGGATGAAGTATCTAATTTAGCATCTGCATTTAAATCAACATATTTAAAGTAAAACCTATATTAACTAATTCCCATCTACATTGAAAAAATTAATATTATCTAGTATATAATAGAATGAACCAATAAGACGAAGATTAAATAAAAGAAAAATAATCTACACTAAAATTAGAAAAAGTGCCTTGTAAATTTTATTTCAATTTAGAAGGTAAAAATGATCATTAACCTAATGTAATCTTAATTCCTATTGTATAATATATATTTTTCTAAAGAATTAAAATTTCTGTTTGTATATTTCTAAAGAATTCATGGATTTTATTTTTTAACCTAACATACTTTTTTATTACTTTAAAGATTATTTTTAGTGGATACCCATATTTGAGTCGACTGTTTATTTTAAACAGTATTTATTTTGTCTACCGGCTTGCATCCTAGCTAAAATAGAACATTGCTTCATTGTAAACCTCTTCAAAGCCAAACGGCAAGGCATACCAGATCGAATAGTGGTTTCTCAAGCAATGGCTGTCACAGGTTTCATTCCTGCTAAAGAGCACATTTTCTGTTAAATTTTCTCAAATACACAGAACGGTAAATTTAATAATTGTTTAAAATAAACGGATCTGTCTATATTTCTGAGATGAGGTATTATGTACACTATTTACATTATTCAGACTATTGTCTGAATCTTTGTTGCCATATTTATCATGTTTCAGTAGCTGTATGCTTTGGCCTTCTGTGCCATGTGTCCTTCAAGGACACATGGCACAGTGGATAAAGGCATTAGTTAGATCCAGTGACAGGATCCAAAGAGTTGTGAGTTCAATACCTGGTTAAGGCGGTAGAGAACTTGGAGAGGTAAATTAACAGGAGATAACTGATAACTGACATCCATTAGACATGGCACGTGGAACTAGAACAGTCTACCCCAGTAAGTGAAATAAAGGGTTCAGTTTGACATTCCGACCACCTGAAGAAGGCCGGAGCGTACAATGGCTGAAACGTGATAAATATAAAAACAAAGACGAGGACAATAGTCCGAATAATGTAAATTCAGTAAAACAAATGGAGTGTCTACTCAAATATGGGTAGACATTAAAAATAATGTTTGAAGTAAAAAAAAGAAATAAATTAACTGATCTGTATTGTTTATGAAGAGAAAAGTTATAAAAAAATTTGTTGTATTTATTACAGTATATATACTTATTAAGTCTACAGTGAAGATTATATATATATATATATATATATATATATATATATAAATAAAGCACAAAATGCTAAATTACATGGTAAAACATGTGAGTCTGATCACTTGTCTTCTTTTTAAAGACATCCATAAGGATATTAAGTGAAATAAGCAAGAGAATACATTTGTTTGCAACCATTCGTTTCATACAACAAATGATATTTTACTCTCAATGATCCAGAATAAAGGTTGGATGAATGCTGATGGAAACCACTCTCACAGGCTAAGACATCAACAAGGCAGAGGAAGTGTGATGTTTTGTAGAAAGATTATAAGGGCAGAAGTGGTGGACCCATGGTGAGTTCCAGATGGTATTAAGATAACATTTTTTGAAGACATATGTAGAGCCAAATACTTTAAAAAATATGATTATTATGTCTGACATTCAGCAAAGAAAATTAATGAAGATCTGGATAAAATGAGTTTCAAAGACATTTGTTTCATGAATTGGTCATCTTTGATCATGATCTGATTCAAAACTTCCTTCTGCATAGGAAGGTTTACATTGGTGGACAGGTAATTTTAGAATATGGTACATATGCTATGTGTTAATGTTGCCATTGTAATTTTGCTGAAGTATTTCATGCTTTATACCAAAATAGTATCATTTGGAAATATATATGTAATACTGTTTATTATAAACAGAGCATTTACTTAAATACTTGTATCTATAAAAAAAACAAAAAACGTTAAACAAAAATGTCTTTAATAAATAAATTGTCGGACTTTGTCCATTTCTTTAATATATATATATATATATATATATATATATATATATATATATATATGGTAGAGGGTAATCACAAAGAGCCCTCAAATTCTATTAGCCTAGTGACCTCTTGAGTGTGGCAGTGACTGCCTGATGAGCTTCTGCAAAATGGATGGCACAACAGGAGGCGAGATGAATAGTGTTAGGGGATACTAATTTACTTCCCTCTATAAAGGACGAGAACTCAAAATACAATTAAGTTACTTCCCTTGTCTGGAAGCTGAGCATGGCACTTCTAAATTAAACATGGTGACAAGCTGACATGCATACGGAATTCATGGTTTCAATTCAAACGAATGCTTGCTGTTCTCAGACAAGTCAATGAATAAAAATTGTTTTATTATGTGTTAAAATACACTTGTCTTATTTTCATCCGTTTTTGTTCATCCTAACAACCTGATGATCAGGAGTTTTTTTTTTTTTTTCCTACTTTAAAGTTCACCCTGCACAAGGTGTGAGGTAGAGGGTTGTGTCAAGGGGTAGTTTATACGGATATGAGATGAAGATAATGGATAACTCTAGACTTGAACAGGTTAAGATTGTAGTGATCGAGGGAAACATCCCCTTGGGCGTCTGTTCCACAGAGCAGTGGTTCCTGGGAAGAAGCTGTCTGAATGGAACTTACTTCTCTCCAATGGAATACAGAGGGAATGTAGATGGTTTGCTACAATGTAAATGGTGTGGCGGGTCCTAGCCATGGAGGTTAGACCTGGCAGAACCAAGGAATGTAGTTTGAGCGCTTTCCATGGAATTAGTGATAGAGTAATGAGAGGCTAACCATATTCTTGCCTGTGAGAGAGGAAAATAATTCTTCCAACAAGGCCTGGGAGAAGCTTTTGAACTCTGTCAAGAATGGAATGTGAGGAACTGAAAATTATGGGAATTAGTGGAAAGC